CACACACACACACACACACACACACACACACACACACGCACACGCACACGCGCACACACACACACACACGCACACGCACACACGCACACACGCACACACGCACACACACGCACACACGCTACTCCTGCCTTCTCTCTCTGGTCTCTCTCTCTCTATTCTCTGTCTGGTCTCTCTTTCCGGCCTCTTTCTGGTCTCTCTCACTGGTCTCTCTCACTGGTCTCTCTCTCTGGTCTCTCTGGTCTCTCTCTGAGATGCTGACACGCCGATGGTCTCAGATAAGCATTGGACCAGATGACCTCTTGGCTTTGTTGGTGATTGTTAAATCTGGCAGCGGTGTTATCTCCAGGCTGCAGAGAGAGGGGGAGAGAGGGAAAGAGAGAGGGAGAGAGAGAGAGGGAGAGGGAGAGAGGGAGAGAGAGAGGGGAGAGATGGGAGGGATGGGGAGAGGAAGAGAGGGGGGGGGAGGGGGGGGGGGGGGGAAGAGAGAGAGAGGGAGAGAGAGGGGAGAGATGGGGAGAGGGAGAGAGAGGGGGTAAGAGAGAGGGGGAGAGAGAGAGGGGAGAGATGGGGGAGAGAGAGGTGGAGAGAGAGAGGGAGAGAGACATTGGGAGAGGGAGAAAGCAAGAGAGAAAAAGAGAGTGAGGGAGAGAGAGAGAGACTAGAGAGAGAGAGCAAATTGGACTTTTGACAGTGTAATGGCTCCCTCTGTACATTCATGGTCCTCAGTAACAAATGGCTGTGTTCCCGAGGAGGTCAGAGTGTGATGGATGAGGAGAACCATGTGGAGAAATGAAATCTGAGCTTCATGGTTTGGAGGAATGAGAAAATAATGTGGTTTTCAAGGTCAGATTCAGCAGATGAACGAATGCAGTCAGAGGAGAAGCAGGTTCTCTCTCTGCTCTCTGGACTCTCTCTGGTCTTTCTTTGGTCTCTCTGGTCTCTTATCTCTCTACTCTCTCTCTCTCTCTGGTCTCACTCTGGTCTTTCTTTGGTCTCTCTGGTCTCTTATCTCTCTACTCTCTCTCTCTCTGGTCTCACTCTGGTCTTTCTCTGGTCTCTCTCTGGTCTCACTCTGGTCTTTCTCTGGTCTCTCTCTGCTCTCTGGTCTCTCTTTGGTCTCTCTTTGGTCTCTTTGGTCTCTCTCTGCTCTCTCTTCTCTCTCTTTGGTCTCTCTGCTCTCTGGTCTCTCTCTCTAGTCTTATGCTCTCTCTTCTCTCTCTTTGGTCTCTCTGCTCCCTGGTCTCTCTCTCTGGTCTCTCTCTCTAGTCTTATGCTCTCTCTTCTCTCTCTTTGGTCTCTCTGCTCTCTCTTCTCTCTCTGGTCTCTTTGTTTGGTCTCTCTGTTCTCTCTATGGTCTCTCCCTTTATGGTTTTACTGTTTAGCTGTTTCTTTAAGGATCAAACTTATTGAAAGTTATTTTAAGAAACATTTTAAACCACTTTAGTCGTTCTGTTTTGAGTCTTAAACTCTGGGGGAAAACTTTTAGACGTTGGGCTTCAACCAGATTCAGATGCAGATATGAACTCTGCATAATCGCTGGTTTGATCTGTTGCAGCCCTCACCTGGTGTCTGGGTAGGGGGTCTCTCTTTGCTTGTCGCTCTGGGGGCTACTTTACACCATTGAAGTCATTATTATTTATTCATCCTCTTCCTCCGATACTTTCCTCCAGCTGCGGTTTGAAGTCAATACAGACAAGAGTTGAAGAGAGAGACCAGAGAGAGACCAGAGAGAGACCAGAGAGAGAGACCAGAGAGAGACCAGAGAGAGACCAGAGAGAGACCAGAGAGAGACCAGAGAGAGACCAGAGAGAGAGACCAGAGAGAGAGACCAGAGAGAAAGACCAGAGAGAGACCAGAGAGAGACCAGAGAGAGAGACCAGGGAGAGACCAGAGTGACCAGAGAGAGACCAGAGAGAAACCAGAGAGACCAGAGTGACCAGAGAGAGACCAGAGAGAGAGACCAGAGTGACCAGAGTGACCAGAGAGAGACCAGAGAGAGACCAGAGAGAGAGACCAGGGAGAGACCAGAGTGACCAGAGAGAGACCAGAGAGAAACCAGAGAGACCAGAGTGACCAGAGAGAGACCAGAGAGAGACCAGAGAGAGACCAGAGTGACCAGAGAGAGACCAGAGAGAGACCAGAGAGAAACCAGAGAGACCAGAGTGACCAGAGAGAGACCAGAGAGAGACCAGAGTGACCAGAGAGAGACCAGAGAGAGACCTGAGTAACCAGAGAGAGACCAGAGCGAGACCAGAGAGACCAGAGTGACCAGAGAGAAACCAGAGTGACCAGAGAGAGACCAGAGAGCAGGGACGTGCAGTCAGGGGAGGCAGAGCCTCACCTGCCATTATTGGAAACTAATAATTATTTTAGTTTAAATATATAATTTATATCCACTGTCCTATGCTTTTAATGTATATTCGGCACGGTTCCCATCAGTTTTGATCATTTCTGAAGTCAAAATCGCCGAAATCCCGTTATTCCTATTCAAAGAGACGAGGTGAGGCAGCGCTCCTGCGTGCCTCACCCCAGACCGCTCCCTCACAGTGTGTGTGTGTGTGTCTGAGTGCACTCAGCTCGTGCAGTTGATATATCACCGTTTGTTTCAAATATCCTGCTTTAAAAACATTTTTTAAACTCCTCTTATTGTTTAGTAGTGTATTGCACGTATGTGTGTACAATTTATATTTAGTTTAAGTCTTTTGATCGTAGATGAACACACAAGGAAAAAGCTTGGCGTGAGGCAGGCGGTATCTGTGCCTCACCGCTAGGGGTGATAGTGAGCATAAAGTTCATACCAGAGTTGCTAACAAACAATCAGCCCAAAATGCTATTCCTTTTGCTGGAAAATGGATGATTTGAATGAAGATTTTTTTTCTCAATTGGACTTTCAAACAAAGAAAGAATTAATATAGACTGGGAGACCACCACTGGACTTACGAGGTTAGTCCGGCTGCGGGGGAGGAGTTTGTTAATCTGTGTTTTATGTTGAACATTGACAGATACCGGCAAAGTAGTGCTTTTCCGAAAAACACTGATTCAAACACTGCTCAAAGAGTTCTGCAACTTGTTTAAATTATTGTTTATGTTCCTCGCGTCTCTCTCTCCTCGCGTCTCCGTCTCTCTCTGCTCCTCGCGTCTCCGTCTCTCTGCTCCTCTCTGTCTCTCTCTGCTCCTCTCTCCTCGCGTCTCTCTCTCCTCGCGTCTCTCGCACCTGCGCTTCTTAAAGATGTTGTTTGATGCGGAGCAGAGTCAGCAGCTAGATTTGTTGTGAGATTATTAAAAGAAGCTGGTTCTCTTATCTTTACAGTATATAAAGTTTGTGGATGTCATTGCATTGGTGATTAAATGCTATTTTATTTGAATAATGATTGTAAATCTGACTTTTAAAGTCAGTGCCTCCCCAATCACAAACCTCACCGCAAGTCCCTGCCAGAGAGACCAGAGAGAGCCCAGAGAGACACATGGTATGTGACACATGTGACACTAGAGGCCACAGAAAAGTAACAGGTTACTTTTAAACTTCCCCAACATTTCTCCCCTCTCCTCTCTGTCCTCTAACTCTTCAATCCTCTCTCCTCTCCCTTCTCTCTCCTGTTTCTCCTCCCTCTCCTCTCTCTACTCTCTCCTCCCTCTCCTCTCTCCTCTCTCCCCTCTCCTCTCTCTCCTCCCTCTCCTCTCTCTCCTCTCTCTCCTCTCTCTCCTCTCACTCCTCTCTCTCCTCTCACTCCTCTCTCCTCTCCCTCCTCTCTCCTCTCTCTCCTCTCTCTCCTCTCTCTCCTCTCTCTCCTCTCACTCCTCTCTCTCCTCTCTCTCCTCTCTCTCTTCTCTCTCCTCTCTCTCCTCTCTCTCCTCTCTCTCCTCTCTCTCCTCTCTCTCCTCTCTCTCCTCTCTCTCCTCTCTCTCCTCTCACTCCTCTCTCCTCTCCCTTCTCTCTCCTGTTTCTCCTCCCTCTCCTCTCTCTACTCTCTCTCGTCTCTCTCCTCTCTCTCCTCTCTCCTCTCTCTCCTCTCTCCTCTCCCTTCTCTCTCCTGTTTCTCCTCCCTCTCCTCTCTCTCCTCTCTCTCCTCTCTCTCCTCTCACTCCTCTCACTCCTCTCTCTCTCTCTCTCTTCTCTCACTCCTCTCGCTCCTTCTGGACATCATTGCATCCTCATCACGTGGTTAATCATTGGGAATGACCCTCATCTCTCTCTCTCTCATTGCCTTCTTAGAATTCGGTGTCAGTTTTGAGAGCAGGCGCCGAAACAGTTCTATGTGAAAAAATACATTGTTGAGAAAGAAATATGATTTCTGAGGATCTGATTTGATAGAATAGCAATGCTATCAAACATTCATGGATATGGCTGTTTGACCTCGATGTAGAAATGCACTAAATAATAAAGATTAGATTCAGATTCAGTTTAATTGCCATTTGCAGTAAAAAAACCACATTGGAATAATTAGCAAAAGTCTCCAGTTGATTAATCTCTTATTTAGATTTGGAAACCTGCATGATATTTGTACGTCTAAAAGTCCTTTCTAAGTTGATCATATATATTGTTTTGTAAAATAATGGAAAATTGTTGCTTCTTCTCTCGTTGGCTGCACTTGATCATGGCAACAGTTGCAAAGAAGCTTTTGCTCGCCCTTGCTTATAAAGGTAGTTCTCAAAGAGGCATTGAGCGCCTATAGGGGGAATGTATTTTTCTAACATGTTATAAAAAAAAGTCTAAATAAATTTATTTTTAAAAATGTAAACTAATGCTGCTAATAGACAGGTGTGCTCAAACATCCAAAAGTATGGTTAACTAACTTGGGGTTCGCAGGCTACTGCGGACGATCAAGGAAAATTAATGGCAAGCCAACACAATAAGCTTGGAAATTCTTTGTTCTGTTTTGAGACATACAAATCGGACGGCTTTGGTAAACGTCCTCCGTGATAACCACTGTGTCATTAGAGCTGCACAAAATACATTGAATTACAATTGAACTCAGAGCACGGGGTTTTCTAGACTTGCATCATGAGTTTAACCTTACAACCACACAGTCCTCGTTGTCACCCTCACTTACTTTTGCTCTTTTATGTCTGACATTTCCAGGGCTTCTTAAAAATACCTATGCTTGCCTTCCTCAACATTGGCCCTTCCATGGCTGGGACCGGGTGTCCACGTCGGACCTGAGCCTGCAGCGGAGGAGAGGAAGCTCACCTGGGACTCGGCGTCTACATCAGTGCCACACACGGCCGGTCCACAACCATCTGAGTGGGAGCCGCTGCTGTACCAGAGCCACGTGCAGGACATGAAGAGGACCTGGTCAGTACGGCAGCAGCAGTCGATGCCCACAGTGTGGTCTCACAAGGTAACTGGACTCAGAGTGTTGACCGCAGTCGCCTGTGTACCATGGCTGGTTGAAACACTCACAGCAGATGCTCATAACAGACTGTGTTTTATATAGACGTGTTGTTCTTCCTTTACAGTTAAAGAATGAAAAAACTCCAGCTGAGGACTATCCCATATGTATGTAGCATGTCTTTTAATGCTTCAAGGTCATTCATTGAAAATAATAAATAAAATAAAAAAATCCTCCAAATTTTGCATCAAATCAGTTTTCAAACATGAATGAAAGCTAAACTGAAAGCCCCTGCATGCCAATCTATAATATAGATCTATAAAAATACTAGATATAGCTATAAACTTATTTATCAGGACCACCAGAAATGTCAATTTACAACCAATCCTGCATGAGTAGATTAAAACATGAGGATGGACAAGTACAACCCCCCCCCCCCCCCCCCCCCCCCCCCCCCCCCCCCCCCCCCCCCCCCCCCCCCCCCCCCCCCCCGACTGAACATGATCATCTCTAATATACAGAGCTACTTACATAAATGTATTTGGGATGAGTTTGTAAAGGAAACTTCTTTTCCTTTTCTCCAGAGTGAGGTTTTATTGTGACTTTTCTGTGATTTTAAAAATAAAGTTATCTTTGCACAAAAAAAAAAAAAACGTTTCCTCGTGAATATCTTAATTGATAAAATATGATATAAATGGGGAATAGCAAAGCACAGCTGCAGGTTACATAAAGTCCCAAAATACATATCTACAATCCGTGCATTTGGGGGGTCAGTGATATGGCAGGATGCAATAATAAGCACTCAACTAGTAATGTGCCCCTATTTTTGTCTCTGTTTTGGCTTAGGTTCAGACTCTATACAGTGAAATCCAATTTTCCAGTGAGTCCGAGACTATGAAGACATAGGAGGCTGATGGAGAAACTTGGGGTACCTCTGTAAGACTTTCGTCACCCACACACTGCTGTATGTAAATCCACCCGTTAGAGAACTAAAGAAATGTGTTTGTATATAATTAGAATGTACTGTATATCTTAATCAGACGACGTTATGCAGAGTGTAAGTTTTCACCCATTAGCCCAACATTCAGACACTTTCATTTCCGAACATTTGTTCATTTTAACAGTGATTACCGAGGTTAAAACTGTTATGGTGAAAGGACACTTGTGTGAATTATATTTCCACAATACATGTTTATTTTTTTGTCCCTTATGTAACGTTCATGGTAATAAACAATAAAAAAGATAAGATTTCCAATATCAAAAATAGAGTGATTTATTGTGAAGACAATGAATTGACTTCAACATTTTGTCTTGGTAACTGATGTTCAGACCATGGATCAGGGTAAGGGGAGATACTCGCAGTCACAGACATTCTCCTTTTCGGGGCTCCTCACCACACCTTGATGGCCTTCGGCAGGAGGCTAAAAGCCCAAATCTCAGTCTGACACAGACGTTAATTGGCTCTCAGAAAATCAAAATCGTCACAAAAAAGACCCACCTCAACACAATGTGACAAAATAAAGAGCAAAACGTTGGTCCCTTCATGCACAGCAAAGCAAGCATTTGCTGTCCACTATTATAAAAAGTGCACTTCATCATTTCTCTTCGCAGAACTAAAATTACAAAAAGGCAAATGTACAATGTGTCAGAAAAGACAGTACAGTGGAGAAGAAGCCGTTCATACACAGACAGATTGAATAAGCTGCAGCATAAGCAGTGATGATCATTATGGCTAAAATCTGAATGCATCAATAGATATTTCTGTACATTACGTTTATTACTCCTGTGCTGCATAGCCAGTGGCCCGACATTCTCTCCAAGCGAAGACTTTCTTTTTGTGGCAAACAGCAGAAAAACAAAATCTTGAAACTGGTGATTTGAAGAGATGATTTGCCACCCATGAATTCCTCGTGTGTAGAACTAAAGCATATTGTAAATTAACATATTCACTACAGTATAGAAATCTGTGTATTTATCGCATTACACTTTAATCTTTATTTTACCTCCAAAGGAGAAGATTCTCTTTGTCGATAACACATTTCACATCTGTCCTAAAAGACACTGTAAATTACACAGGATGTGATTCACAATTCGTGGCGGTTTTGTATTCGCTGCCATATTTTCATGACGTCACATTCTAGTCTGACTTTAAAATACCTTCGGTGGGAAAAGACATCACAAAAGACCCTTTTCCGCGCAGGGGAGCAGCTTGCCAAGAGTGATCAGCAGACATCTTCATTTGCTACTTTCCTTCAGGGGACAGCTAAACTTGATGTATAACTTCATTCAATCTCTGCTGCAAAACATTGACCTCATTTCATTATATAAAATTCTTTTTGGTGTTTTTACTTGCTCCAGTTAACAAACAGGCAACTGGTCAGCATAGATACCACAACATGTTAATATGGGGTCTTTCACCATGAGGACAGAGTCCATAAACAAGGCAGCAGACAGGGACCTGAGGCCTTCTCTTATGCCTTAGGTGCCCATAAAAATCAACATCATGAACTGTAAGGTGCACGATTTCAGTTTTTGGCTCCACGAAGTGCTGCAGTCACATGTTCTGGTCCCTTTTCATACAGCCCAACTCGAGTATGTTCCTCTTGCTGATGTGAAGAAGGCTTGTGGATGCACATTCCTGAATTCATCCGGGAATATCAATGTCCTCAAGTGGCTTACTTCCGAAGACGAGGACACAAAACTGCAGACGGATGGTCACATTAGTTACCATTTTCTTGCAGCAAAATATTTTTTTTTTTACTATCATTTACCCCCCAAATAAATATACATATGGTCAGGGTGGATAGGACTAAAAAAACGGCCCGGGCATTTTTGCTTCTTGGGGCCCGGCATGTTTTTTTTTTTTTTTACGTTTTACAGTTTGTTTATTACCAGGCGTTGCACTCAAAACGGTTTCAAAGAGCCAAAAAAAATACGAACATGTCACTAATATATTTTGGAGCGAGGCCATGGAGAGACTTGTACACAAGCAGAGCTCACATGCCGGTTTGTTTACAACAGCGGCCGCCTGGCGCTGGCCTATGTCGCAGGATAAGACGCACTACGTTGACAGAAATGTTTGAATTGAATAATACTTAAGCACAATTTTACATCATTTAAAAACGTTAAGAACGTTTTTCCTTCTACAGAAGAAAAAAGACGCATGCACCTCCGGAGCCGCAGGTTGCCGACTCCTAGTTTATACAGTATGTGGAAGCAAATACTGTAGAGCAGTGTCTCCCAAAGTGGGGTCCGCGGCCCCCTGGTGGGCCGCGAGGGTACTGCAGGGGGGCCGCGGGAGGTCATAAAAAAATAATAATAATAATAATGTAATTATTTTATGTTAAATTTATAATGTTTTGTTTGTAATATTAAAATATTTGTGTTCATTATTTGACTTTAATAATCCACTGTAATCATTTTTGTATTACAATGTTTGTAGCAGAGGCTATTTCCCCAAAATAAAATAACCAGAAGAGCCTATTCTTAATGTTGTCTTCTTGGTTATTATTTTGGGGGGCCACGCAGACCCGTCAGATTTTTAAGGGGGCCTCGGTGTTACTGAGTTTGGGAATGGCTGCTGTAGAGGATCAGGATATGTGCAGTTTCAACAATAAAATAAAATGCAATAGTCTACATTACAAGAGAGTAATAAACATGTCTCAGAGTGAGGGAGGTGGACACAGACTACACTGTTGTTTGTTACAGGGATGAGAATTGGTCAAAAAAGACTGAAATGCATATTGTCAGCCATTTGCTGGCTCTAAATCTGTTTAATTTGTTCACAACATATTACTTTTGGGCTCAAACATGAACTTTTAATGCAATGCAAAATGTAGGTATCAGAACTTTATTTAGGGCGTTTAATTGCGCTTCGAGAGGAGAGGGGAGACGCGGACTGTTTCCTGCAGCAGTGTATTTATTGGGTGCACAGATTACTCAAAGACATGCATGGTCCCGTGCGCGTTTATGGGGTTGGGTACATGGCCACGTTGAGGCTGCGCGCTCAGCCACAACACGGTGGAGCGGCTGCGAGCGGCTCTCGCAGCCGCATTACAAAGCGGCCGCAGATGCAAATTCGAAGTGATGCACAGTAGAGGAGGGCTGGGCCGAAGTGTTTTGTTAGACGCCCATGCCCTTATATAGCAGTCTCGCTGCAAATACTGTGACATATACTGTAATAATTCTAAACACGTAATAGAGACTGGCAAAATCAAAACGGGTTGAAAAATCTTACCTAAACAGAATATGAAGTGTTCTCTGCAACCCATGAAGAGACTGATTTCAACTTTTTTGCACTTCTAGAGGCTCCAACTACACAACATCAGGCATTTAAGACACAAAAAGTGGATTTTTCATGATATGTCCCCTTTAAAAAGAAGTACAAAATGCACAAAGCTAAAAGTATGATGCATGACTATGAGGACTCAGATGAAGGTGCTTTTGTAGTACATGAGTCAGGTTACGGTGAGTTACAAAAAGGGAATTGGATAATAGACTCTGGAGCATCTAAACACATGACATGGAATCAAGAAAGACTTCAACACTACCAACAGTTTGCAGAGCCACAGTCGGTGAAACTTGGTGATGGGAGAGTAGTTGAAGCGCTTGGACTTGGAAACATAAAAATGAGAATGTCGTTTAAACTTAGTGAGGTTAAAAATGTCACTATGTATAATGTACTGTATGTTCCCAAGTTATCAATGAATCTAATTTCAGTGGGAGCTGCAGCCAAGAGAGGAAACACAATACAATTCAAAAAGACGTGTTGTTACATACGTGGAGAAGATGGAAAACTCCAAGGTATGGGAAAACAACGGCCGGACGGGTTGTATCAGCTGAATGTTGAGGGGAGCATTGCCGCCTATCATGGTGCATCAAGTACATCAGATACAGCAAGTGTGTGGCACCAACACCTTGGCCACACTACCAAGCTCAAAGAACTCAAACATCTGGTGAAGGGAGTTGATTTCACTGTAGAGGAGGAGGAATCATTCTGTGAAGCCTGCGTTGAAGGCAAGATGTCAAGGAAACCTTGCAAGCCACTTGGAGAAATACGGTCAAAATGTAAGTTACATCTAGTTCATAGTGATGTTTGTGGTCCAGTGCAAACAGAATCTATTAGTGGAGCAAAGTACTTTGTCACATTTATTGATGACTTTACAAGATGCTGTAAAGTTTACTTCATGAAAGAAAAAGGTGAGGTTCTGAGCAAATTCAAGGAGTTTGAAAAAACGTTCTCTAATGAGTGTGGACACAGAGTGATAAGACTCAGAACTGACAATGGTGGAGAATACACATCCAAAGAGTTTCAGGAATATTTGAAAACTCAGGGCATTCAGACTGTACCGCACACACCACAACAAAATGGTTTTGCAGAAAGGAAAAACAGAACATTAGTTGAAGCAGCCAGGAGTATGCTGTCTCAAGCTAAGTTACCAAAATTGTACTGGGCTGAGGCTGTAGCAACGGCAGCCTACATACAGAACAAGTTACCCACAT